GTCCTCCGGCATAGTGGCTGCCCCCAGAATCTGCCCTGTAAAGAGGCAGTGAACGCAGCAGGCTTGAGACTTTGGGGCTCATTTTCCCCAGCCTTGGTTGGTGCCAGCTGGCCGCTACTTATGTTACAGAACTGTCATCAATTGGGGAAGATTTTCTTTTTCCAAAATGAAAATAGAGTAATTGTTTTTTCGTAGTACGAAAAGGGTATATGCTAATTGTAAATAATATTAATAATAAACCTCTTTAAAAGTGTAAAGTAATTAAAAATACAATATATGGGACATATAATAATTAAATAAATGGTAATTAATTAAAATAATTGTATAATATGATCTATCAATCTATATATTAGTGCCTGGTACATAGAAAGTGTCACCTACTGTTATACTGGTTTGTGTTTGATATGCATGAGAAAGTTAAAACAAAAGAGCATGTTTAAAATACATTGGAAGTAATGACATACATTCTGTTAATTTTATGGATGATGTATATGAAGTTCCTCCAAATTGAAAGGTTTTGTTATTTATTTTCTTCATTCAGGTCATTCTTATTGGTCACACCTTTAGGGATTGGGAACCAAGTTGCTGTCCTCACGGGCTTTGCATTCTAGTAGATATTCACATGTTCTGAGCTAAAGCCCAGGAAAGGTCAGGGCTAGAGATGTAGATTTGAGCATCATCCCTCAAAGGGTTGGGGAATTGAAATGATATCTTACTTATATGTGTCCCCCACAACATCTGGTCTAGTGTTTTATACACAGCTGACACTCAGTAGATGTTGGCAGAGCAAATGGAATTCACTTTTTCCTTTAGAGGTATTATTAGACTATACCCCTCATCTCTTTATACCTCTAATTAAAGCCTTCCTGAACATACCTCTTTTTCTCCCTATATTAGTTTTCTCTTGCTACATAACAAATTACCACAAACATTGCAGTTTAAAACAATATGCATTTATTTTCTCCAGATTTTGGTGTGTCAGGAGTCCATGCATAGCTTAGCCACATCATCTGCTCAGGGTCTCACAAGACTGTAACTAAGGTGTCAGTTGGGCTTCATTCTCATCTAGAGGCTCAGCTAGGGAAGAATCCACTTTGAGACTTGTTCGTGTTGTTAGCAGAATTCATTTCCTGTGACTGTTTGACTAAGGGCCCAGCTTCCTACTGGCTGTGGGTGGGAGGCTGCCCTCTACTCCCGAAGGAGCCCGTAGTGCCCTGACACCAGCCCTCTCCGGGGGAAGCTCACCACTTCCTGCTCGGGTCTTCACGGCCGGCAGGAGAATCTCTCCCTCCAGTCAGCTAAGATGGAGTAACATAAAGTAACACGATCATGGGTGTGACATCTCATCACTTTTGTCATGTCCTATTGGCTAGACGCAAGTCACAGGTTCTGCCCACACTCTGCCTACACAGAAATGAGTACTCCACGAGGTGGGATTTGGGGGAGGTCACCCTAGGGTGGACGACATTCCTATAATGCTCACGTACACAGCTCTGTCTTACTGCATTACTGTGTAAGCCTCTGCTGGTCATACGCCTTGCAGGTCCGTCTTCACCTCTAGATCTTTCATGGCGGAGACCTTGCCCTGTTCATCGGTCTATATCCTTTCGCATCTGGCATAAAACTTGGCCATTAGTTAGTCTCAGCGAACTTTTATTTTTAATAGTTTTGTTGAGTTATAATTTACCAGTGAACTTTTAGTAAGTGAATGAAGGTAAACATAGGGCTAACATAATGCAAATTTTAAAGCATTTGCTGATAATCTTAAAGGAATAGTCTAATTGATTACGCAATTGGAGTTGTATTGACTCTTTCTTCAAGACAATACTTGGTAAAATGAATTAGAAGATAAAATAATTTTATGATTCTTCTAGATTTGTATAACCATGATACAACTTTATGACATATTATGTTATCTAACTAGGTATTTTTTTTTCTTGTAGATGAGCAAGAGATAGTACAAAAACGCACTTTCACAAAATGGATCAACTCTCATCTGGCCAAGGTAAAGGAAATGACCCGAGTTATGGGTTTACTTAGTTTGAGCCAATAAATCATCAAATGCACAGGAAAAAGGAATGTTGCAGTAGACCGTGTCCCTATTACTAACCAATGATCAGCAATTCTGTTGGTTGGTGTAACTGTTGCTAAGTGACACAAATGGCGGTGTTTGCTAACGTTGCCTCTGGGGGGAAATGAACTGATAGCTAGAGTCAAGTTACTTCATGTCTGTGAATCTTGAGGAAGTATTTCATCCAATTATTTCTTCTGTACTAATGCATGTGTCATATCAAAAGGAGAATTTGTGCTGGATTTTTGTTTGTGTGTGTTTGTTTCTATTTGGAACAGAAAGAAGCAATGAGTGGTCCGTGCTGAGCAAAGGATTTTATCTCAGGAGATCATGACAGTATCTCTGCTCCCTCTCAGGTGTTCTGATTAAAAAGTAACTATTTTAGTGATAGGACACTAAAAAGGCTGCAATCATTTTGAGATTTTCTACACTAACATTAGGTGGTATTAGGTGGCTATGTGTGCATTGTCTTTGAACATAAATACTAACATAAAATAAATTTCAATCTTGGTACATTGTAATAGAATTAATTTCTTACACTGCTGATAGAAAAGCAAAGCAAGAAACATCATATTTGTAAAACTAAATTCGGATGCTAGCACAATTGTCTGAATTCAGTTAGAGGGTCCTTTTGCTGAGAGCAGTGCTTATAGTATGTGAGGCACAACCCTATGGGCACTTTTGGATCAGGGCCTTTTTTATAGTTCAGAAGCAAACAAAGCATGGCAGTTTATTTTAGTCCCATTCTACAAATTAGTGACTTACTTCATGTCTATGCTAGGCTTTGAAGACAGGAAGAAATTAGTAAGACACTTTACTAGGCCAGCCCAAAATCCAGCAATGAAAGAAAACTAGAATGACGTGTCTAGATACAGGACGCACTGGGATCACCGTTCCTATAATCTCTTTCCGAAAGCTGCTTGATGAGATCGGAGTCCTCCGGCATAGTGGCTGCCCCCAGAATCTGCCCTGTAAAGAGGCAGTGAACGCAGCAGGCTTGAGACTTTGGGGCTCATTTTCCCCAGCCTTCATTGGTGCCAGCTGGCCGCTACTTATGTTACAGAACTGTCATCAATTGGGGAAGATTTTCTTTTTCCAAAATGAAAATAGAGTTATTGTTTTGTCGTAGTACGAAAAGGTTAGATGCTAATTGTAAATAATATTAATAATAAACCTCTTTAAAAGTGTAAAGTAATTAAAACGCATCTTAAATCACACAATCCAGATATAATCATCCCTAAAATATTGGTCGACATTTTTCTACACACAGACACACACTATTTCATACAAACCGTTTTATAGGGTACTCTTCTAGGAGCCTCTGTTTCGCTCAACACATCTTTCCATGTCAATAAATAGGTCTAAATAATCATTTTAATTGCTAAATAAACTTTATTATATTTATCTACCTGCATTAGCTAGTTGCCTATTGATAGTCATTTAGGTGGTTTCCAGTTGTTTAATATTATGTAAAATATTACAGTGAAAGTCCTTGGACATACATCTTTGAACACTGTGTGGCTTTTCTTCTTAGGATAAAGTTCTAGAAGTGGTTGAATAGTCTCAACAGGTATGCACAGTTATAATTTTAATATATCCCAAGAGCTTATGAGAATCCCCATTTCCTTGCACTATTAAAACATTCTTCA